TGTGTGTGTGTGTGTGTGTGTGTGTGTGTGTGTGTGTGTGTGTGTAAATAACACACTTAATAACTTTAATGTAATTAGATATCAGCATCCACTGGATGTTGTGTTTGGAATCACCATCTTCGTTTTAAGGTGGTAAAACAAATTGCTTGTATTTATTCCTTTCTACACACTTTGCAGATATTTTTTTCTGCACTCCACGTGTTTAATATGTGCGCACTCCGGCGGGGTGACAATCATTATAGTCGCGCTTTGGAGTGCGCGCGCATTCGGCCGTGCGTCGTCGCGCTATGACCGCAGGAGAAACGAGGACTGATTTTTATGCATCCCATCTGAGCACTGACTTCACCTGCACTGACAGTCGCCTCGCTGCGTGGAAATGGATGGAGAGCGAGCGACGTCGCCTCCCGTGTGTCGAGCCCTTCACACATGCCGCGGTGCACGCTCCTCCCCGCAGCAGGTAGTGTGGTCGGTCAGCATCCGACCGGAGGACGCGCCGTCACGTAAATATGTAAACAATTCGGCGCTCATTTTCACTCACCCTGAACCAGGTCCGGATAAGTTTTTTCCCCATTTTCATTTGCGCTCTCAGCCACGCTGCTTCCCGCTTCTTCTGTTTTGACTCCAGCCGGTTAAGTCATCAAAAAGAATTGCGCGGTTGGCCGGTAGACTACAGATCTCTTTCATAGGACAAATTTATATTGTTTCTACCGTATGTCGTTTATATCACGCATTCCTAATTTCTAATAAATGTCACGCTACTAGGTGCATACCAAAACTGTAGTGGTTTGGTGGGGGGCATTGGTTAACCTGATGGGATAGCCCCTCAGTAGAGCTAAAAAAATAAAAAAAATAATTCTGAAGCTCCTATGTTTAATCGTTTTTGAGCTATAACCATTTTTGTACGTCTGGAAACCCCTTCTTTAGATAAATTAGGGGTCCGGGGTAGTGGGGGCACTGATCGGTGGGCCTGATGGATAGAGCTTCTTCAGAGCTAAGCAACAAAATAAATCTGAAGCTCATATGTTTAATAGTTTTTCAGCTATAACCATACCCCTTTTTCAGATAAATTGGGGGGTGGGGGTGGGGGGGGGCACTGATTGGTGGGACTGATGGATAGCCCGTCATCAGAGCTAAACAACAAAATAAGTCTGAAGCTCCTATGTTTAATAGTTTTTGAGCAATAACCATTTTTGTATGTACAGAAACCCCTTTTTCAGATAAATTGGGGGTCCAGGGGGGTGGGGACACTGATAGGACAGAGTTTCYTCAGAGCTAAACAACAAAAGAAATCTGAAGCTTTTATGTTGAATGTTCTATGTTCTATGTTGTCTGAGTTACAAGAATTTTTGCATGTCCTGATACCCCCTCTTTGAAAGGAGCCCTCTGCTCAATTATGGGGTCTATCATAAAACCATTGGCTGGCTTAGTGTAGGTCAGACTCATCTACTGTCCTGCCAAGTTTCATGTTGATTGGTGCAGCCGTTTTTGTGCTATGGTTGACCAAAAATCAGCTAGTTCGGGGTGGTGGCCCGACGGAATCCGCCAGAATCCGCCGAGGGGCCGCTTACAGGAGAGGCTTCCCTCGGAGGCTCAGTGCTAGCCTGGCTAGCTGTTGGCTTCTCAATAGCGRGAAGCTGAGCTTCTAATAAAGACAGCCTCGCCTCTAAAGCGGCCATAATTTAATACAAATGTCTTCGCCAAACGAGGCAGGGGATAAGCTAAACATCTCACACACGGAGCAAGTGAGGAAAGCTGAGGTCGGAGAAGAAGTAGCCATGATGCTAAGCAAACATTAGCGAGAGCTACAAGATCCCAAAATTCACAAATAACACCATGAAGTGTTGAAAAATAATAATAAAACATGTTTTAAGCACAGTCCCAACACAAACAAACTATATCAAAGGTGATTTAGGACTAGCAGTAGAACTGTGCAAAGGTAGATAATCCACAGAGTTAAAGAAATTCCCAAACAAACAAATTGCTGAGCACTACCAGCAAAGCAGAAAATGATACAATACGTTACCCTATGCCTATCCTCACCCTGTTCCCTGAAAACAGGAGCAGGTGTACGGAGGAAGACAATAGGAACTCTAAAGTTTGTGGTGCTTGTTAAACAGAGCAGTCTTTCACTGTCAGCGTCTGTCAGCCTGTCCTCAGCGTCCGTCAGCCTCCGACTTGTCAGACTTGCTTTGGCTTTGAGCTGGATCTGGTCTCAGGTTCCTCTCTGAGATCAAGCAGGTATGGTTGAGCTCTCTTTTACTTGCAGGAAGGAGTCCAAATACAGACAAGGTACAATACATCCAATGTCAGCATCAATGAACTGACTTTCTGTATGGCTGTCAGGGTTTTAAAGGGTTCCTTTCAAAAGAGCTGAGTGTCCTTCTGATATACGACCAATGCAATCTCCTGTTCTCCCCAGGCGTTACCCTCCAGTTGCTTTATCCAGGACCACCTGTCTAATAGCGGTCATAAAAGTAACTGAACTCTATAAGCTAAGTTAAAAGTTTAGGAAGTCAAAGATCAACAACTGTCTTCACTCTAACTGAACACAAGTAATTACAAGTTATGCAAAAACAAACAGATCAACAGCATTAATATCTCTTTTTACTAAATGAACCATATTTTAAAGCACAATTTAACCAACAAAATGATGGCTAATAGGTGCATTTCTATACAAATAAGTGCTTTTCAAATCAGTGCTTAAATCACATTCATACGCTGATGTGACACACATCAGAGGCAGTTGGGGTTCACTTTGACATGTGACTGAATAGTAGTGGAATCAAAACTTTCCCCCTAACCACTCAGCCACAGCTGCCTGCGAGAACAAAATGATATGATTTTATGCATGCAACTAAGTAAATAAGAACTCATTTCATGGCTTTTGGTTGAGTATGCAAGGGGCCCTTACAAGTGTCTAATGCACTCTACAACAATAGAAACAATAGTACAAATAATGCTTCATTATTTGTACTATTGTTTCTATTGTCAAACAGTCAGTCAAATTAAAAGAGTAAATCAAAAGATTAAGTGAGCAAACAAAATCAATCAAGCTAAAATCAGAGCAAGCAGGAAATGATGCAGTCTGCATGAACAAATGTTCATCTGGTCTGTTACCAGCGCATTGTTCAAAAGCCTGCCTCTGTGATATGGGGGTCTATTGCGTGGATAGTTAACACATCTGGAAAGACACCATCTATGTATAAAAGTATATATAGGTTTTAAAACAGAATTTGTTCTACCCAGACTTTGTTTTCAGTAAAGATCTTTTAGATATTTCAGTAAAACATTGTTAAACTTGTACATAATACTGTACACTGCTCCACATGTGTGCTCACATGTGCGATGGGTTAAATGCAGAGACTCAATTTCTTCTCTGCGGGACGATAAGGGTTAATAAAATAAAATAAATAAAATAAAATAAATAATACCATGGTACTTTCTAAAGGTTATACTGTGGTATGACAATGATCAATACCGCCCAACCCTAATGCAGTCTGTTACTTTTTTACATTGTACACAGCAGCTCAATTTGTTTAAGATTCAGGTTGTAAGATACAATTACTCATTTGTTTTGCTTTCTTGTTTTTAGGACCTACATGACGAGGCCCCACCCAGCAAGAAAAGCAAAATGGAGTCCTCATCTCAGGACTTTGAGGAGAGTTAAAAGTTTTGGGCAATCATTTCTTTCCTCTCCCTCCTGTTTATTTCCCTTTGTCCTTCTGTACCTCATTCCATTAACTCTAAATAATTTAGGGCTAATGGATGCAAC